GTGCCCTTTTGCTCCCTTTTTTTTTTTTTTATCAACTGAGATAATTTTTTATTTTTTAAAAATAATTTATTTTCAATTACAGTTTACCTTCAATATTATTTTGAATTGGTTTCAGATGTTCAGCATAGTGGTTAGACAATCATATACTTCTCATATTTATAGTACCCACCTAGCACCATACATATTTATTGCAATATTATTGACTATATTCCCTATGCTGTACTTTACATCCCAGTGACTATTCTGTAACTACTAATCTGTACTTTTTAATTCTTTAACCTTTTACCCAGTACCCCAGCCCCCCTCCCCTCTATTAACCACCAGTCCACTCTCCGTGCCAACTTGGTTGACCATGATGTCAAAATATGTGGTAAAATATTATTCTGGGTGTTTCTGTGAGGGTGTTTTTGGATGAAATTAACATTTAAATCAGTGGACTTCGAGTAAAACAAATGGCTCTCCATAATGTAGGTGGGCCTCATCCAATCAGTTGAAGGCCTGAGTAGACCGACCTCCCCTGAGAGAGAGGGCATTCCTCAGATTGACAGTCTTCAGACTTAAACTGCATCTTTAGCTCTCTCCTGGGTCTCCGGTTGCCTGCCCACCCTGTAGGTTTTGGAATTGTGAGCCTCCGTTATCATGTGAGCCAGCTCTTTAAAATAAATGTCTCTCTATAGATCTGTATCTATATCTATACACATCCTGTTGGCTCTGTGTCTCGGAGGAACTTGACCAATACAACAAATATCAAAGCGTTAAATTTACTTAAGAAAATTCTCCCCTTACCTAGACTGTTCATTCGTTTAGGGCAAAGTTTATACTGGTTTTCTGATGATCAAACTCAACTCTATGATAAAACAGCTTTCTCCAAGCTTTCATGGGTGATAAAAATCCTCCAGGATATTCTACTTCATTTCAAAGACCTCTTTTCACTTCATGAAAGTAAATTTTCTTTACAAAATTCTATTAAATCGGGGCCCAGGATCATTTAAACTACATCAACTTGTTACAGTTAAATATTTATATTGCCACTGTCAAGCAATATTGTATTTTAATACCGATTGCATTTTAAAAAAGAAACAATCTTGAACTTGCCAAAATAGCGTTCTTGAAAAACTTCCAAACTTATGTCAAACTCCCCTCAGCTCATGCTCTCCATGGCACTGTTTATATATTAGTCAATGTGTGTCAAGATGATGATAATTAAATTTCACTTGAAGTTCAAAGACAAAGTGATTAAATTTGAACCTGAATCTCTTTAAAGGTGGCTCTCTTGTATTTCTCAGAAGGAAAATTCTGCTTGAGTGTTAGGAAGAATATAATTATTTGTTCAAGATACTGGATCTTTCAAGAAACAATGCAATATTATCTCCGGTGGGAAGAGGGTAATCAGAAATTCAAAGCAGATGTCCCCTTTTGCCCCCATTCTTGGTTTAAGGAAGAAGATAGAATTTACTAGGTGGGTGCAAACTGCTGCTTAACTATCTGTCTTGGTTTCCCTATTCCGCTTGTCCTGGAATTTTCCTAGCTTCTTACTATCCTAGAACAAAAGGATGCATTGACAACAAAACTTTTGGTTGGAAAGTCTTAGTGTCAGCATTCCTCTTGCTGGGGATGGGGCAAGACCATAATCTTCTATGACAATCAAGGCTGCATTTTTCAAAAGGAGAGGCGGGTGAATGAGAGGGCCTCAGATACTGTATGTCTTCATTAAAAATATTCTGTCCCTGGCCAGTATGCTCAGTGGTTAGAGCGTGAGCCTGCACACAGAAGGGCGGTGAGTTTGACTCCTGATTAAGGGCACATACCTGGGTTGCAGGCCGGGTCCCCAGCCCTGGTCGTGGTGCCTGCAGGTGGCAATCAATGGATGTGTCTCTCTCATATAGATGTTTCTCTTTCTCTCTCTCTCTCCCCCTCCCTCCCTTTCTTCCATTCTTTCTAAAAGTCAGTGAAAAAAATATACTTAGGTGAGGAATAACAAAAAAAATAAAAATTAAAAAAAAATATATTCTGGATTATTTCTAATCTTCAAGCTATTTCTACTCTGAGTTTTTTGCTGTTTGTTTTAAGTTTTGTTTTTTTGGCATCTAGTATAACATTTACATACTAGGAACGAGAGCAATAGTATTTATTTTTTATTTTATTATCAATTAGGAACAGAAAATGCCCAATATTGGACACAGATGAGCCTGAGGGAAACAAACATCTCAGCCAACCAAAGAACCCTTTGCATGTATCATCATAATTTTTATTAAGCTAATAATATGTTTTCCTCCCTTATCTATCATTTGTACTTTATGATAAGTTTGGCCAGGTGAATGAAGACACCACTATTTCATTATTCAGAAGCTCTAATTTTTCTTCTGCCAATTAGTTTCCATAGAAATGACTTCATGGAGAGGATTAAGTTCAATTTCCCAATACATTGGATTTTCAGTATCAATATTATAGGTTTTATTAGCCTCAGGTGAAGTTATTTTGCCTATAAGTTTAGTATTATATCATATTTCTGTAGCATTTAATGTAAAGTTGGTATCATTACCAAAGTCAGTGTAACAAAAGAATTTTCTAAACTTTCCCAACAAAAATGTTCCTTTCCCATATACTGTATATTGTTATTTATTGGGGTAGATATGATAGGCCAGAACTGGGTGAATTCAAAATTCCATATAGATTGAGGATATAACCATTCACCTTTCCAATTTTCATAAATCAGATGAGATGGGTTCCCATTTTCGGTTAGTACTATGATAATCCTGTTTTGTTGTTGCAAGCTAACTTACATGAAAAAAAAACAGCACACACCCTAAAATATATAGCATTTATTATGTTGAAAATATCTTTTATTCATTTAAAAAGTTTATTATTCTAAATAACATGTCTAATTGTAATTTTTAAATAAAGATTTTTGGTATTATTAATGTTGAGAAGGTAATATATGCCCATGGTATAAAACTTGAACACAAAAGTAAATACAACATAAACAAAAGTACTTTTCCACTGCAGAGCTATGGTCTCTACTACCACAGTAATTTTTATGCACAATAATCCATATATATCTGTCTAAAATGATTACAAAATGGAACATATTTTTGAAAAAGTGGGTGAAGAACATATACATCGTTTCTACATTGCTTTGCAGTCTCAGAAACTAGAAATCATAACATACCAGCTCATATAAATCTCCTCCTGCGTCTTGTCATTCTGCAGACTGACTGACCGATCTCCTATAGATGGATACATAGGCTGTTTTCCACTCTTTTGCTATTAAAAATTGCAAAAATAGGTATAAAGAATACCCTTGCTCATCTTTACATACACGTAGGAATACATATGTAGGACATATTCCTGTAAGAAAAATTGCTGAGTCCTAGGAATCCTTGATGCATAATATTAAGCTACCATCTAATAAAGTTGCCTCAATTTATGAGAATAAAAAGGCTTCATGTAGAGCATTTATATTGGTGCCATATTTTAAATAATCCTTTATTACAGTAACACTAAATAAAGCATTCATATTTATGCAACTCAGAGACTGTCCACAAATAGAAGGAGGTAAATTTATTAGAGCTGTTTTTGACCCTCCTGGTCCCTAAGCATCATATCATATAAACGTACCTATGTACAGTTATACATAACTCTTGGGATGTTGAGAGCTGTTTATTTTGTATTCCCCTCTTTTTTAATTGGTTTATTAAAGTTCCAGATCTTTAGCTAAGACTTTGCAGGAACAGAAATATTCCTAAATTCCCTACTCCTAGAAAATAGTCACAACAGTAAATAGGACAAGTCTGTATTGTTTAGGGAACAAGGAGATTTTTGTTGTTTCTTTTATAAGAGTGATCCTTGTGAGAGAGTAGGGCTCTGGGTGCAGGTGACTGGTAAAAAACAAGGGAGTATTCCCTTTTTTCTACAAGAATGTTGCTGTCAAATGTGTGACAAAGAGAGCATTTTTTTTGGTAAGGATTTGAAACTCCAAATAGTTGTGTGTTTTTTAAATTCTCACCCAAGGATATTTTTTCCATTGCTTTTCAGAGAGAGTGGAAGGGAGAGAGAGAGGGAGGGAAACATCCATGTGAGAGATGTTTCACATCAACTGGTGGCCTCCCAACCAAAGTCGAGGTACCTGCCCTTGGCTGGAATCAAACCCAGGACCCTTTGGTCCATAGACCGACTCTCTAACCACGGAGCGAACCGGCTAGGGAGCTCCAAAAAAGTTTTTTTTTAATCCAGACTATTATGTTTCTCACCAAGAAGAGTTTTTCTGGGTACATCAAAGATAACGATGCTTTAAAAAAGCTCAAGTTTGAACAGCTGTTAGGATGCTTGCGGGAGTTCTGCTCGGAGACACGGCAAGTCCTGGGTCATTCCGGAATTTCGCGTACCTTAAACGGCAGGCTGCCTTCGGTTAATGAGAATCCAAGCTGCACACTTGGCAGCTTGGGCCACGGGTGTTGTAAGGAGTCCACACTCCGCGGCTCGCGTGCGTCAGCGCCGCCCTCAGGACAAGGGGTGCGGGCGGGCGGCGGGCGGGGAAGGTCGGTGCAAAGGTGCGGCGAGAGGACGCGGCTCCCGGGGCCTGTTTACAGGTTCCTGTTTCATCACACCCGGCCAGTCTTTCTCCACGTCCCCGCCAACCTCGGGCCCGAGGTCACACAAACAGCCCGGGTGGCTCGCAGGCACTCTCGAGGCAGCTTCCTCCGGGCGGGGACTCGGGAAACTCGCCCGTGGGACAAACACCACGTGGAACGCGGACTCCCGCAGCGAGCCGGGAGCTCTGACCCGGGAAGGGCGGGCCCGGGGACGCTCCGGGCAACGCCTCCACTGCCAGCCAATGAGGAGCGGGGACCGTGTCGGGCTCTTCGCTCATTGGGTGGTTCTGGCTCCGCCCCCCGGGAAACGCAGCCCTCCGGGGCCGCTGAAGGCTCAGCCTCAGAGCCGCGGAAACCGGCTTTTGTGTGCTCGCTGCGAGTCGGCGACTTCTTTAGCTCCCCTCGGCCGGATCCTTCAGTGTCTCTTCCAAGCCCTCACGCCCCAGTTTCCTGGATTTATCTTCCTCGCTCGCTCTTTTCCTCTGTCCTCCCTTCGCAGCTCAGCATGCAGAAAAAAGACGTCTCCCCACACGGGTTCCTGCCCAGCTTCCAGCATTTCGCCACGCAGGCCATCCATGTGGGCCAGGAGCCAGAGCAGTGGACCTCTCGGGCTGTCGTGGCCCCCATCTCCTTGTCCACCACGTTCAAGCAAGGGGCCCCCGGCAAGCACTCGGTGAGCGGGCCCCGTCTGGGGAGGCCCAGGGTTGGGCGGGAAAAGAGAGACGGCTTGCAAATGAAAAAGGCACCCAGGGAATTTATAAAGTGGCTTATACATCAGGAAGGCAGCCGGGAAGGATGTTTGCTACATCTGTAATCCTTGCAATAAAGCTTTGTATGAGATGGTTCAGTGATCATATTTCTTTTGCTAAGCAGGACTAGAAGGAACAGTTTGTCCAGCTTGCCTTGCCATCTAGATTTGGACTTAAATGCATGCGATTCTGGCAAATTTGCAGTTCAAATACTGAGGGTCATAACTTCTTTGAATTGCTTTTAGCAGAAACAATGATAAAGATATATATAATGAGCCAGCTAAAAAAAAAATTAAGGGTTTTACAGCTCAGAATCAAGATCATCCCCAATAGCTGTATTCAATTTTTAATAGTTATTGAGTACTTGCTATTGAGATACATACTTACAAATGTTATGTCAGGTGTATTACATGTATTCTCTCAGATAATCCTGACAACAGCACTACTCTGAACTAAATTCTCGTTTTTCTCATGAAAAAACTGAGATTTAGGGACAAGTAACTAGCCCAAGGCCACAGGGCTAATGAGTGGTGGAGCTGGAATTCCAGCCCTGTTCTGGAACCCCACTTGTGCTCTACTCCAATAATATTAGCAATAATCTAACTTATTGCATCATTTAAGCAGTGTGGTTTAGTGATTAAAAACATAAACATGTAGTCAGAGGGCTTAGGTTTGAGTCCTGACATCACCTCTTATGAGCTGGGTGACCTTGAGCAAAGTTACTTAACCTATTCAAGCCTCAGGCTGATTCTTTGTAAATGGGTTAATAATAGTACCTACCACATAAATTGTTGATATGTATTTTAAGCTGTACCATATGTTACATTGTAATGCACCATATGCATGGTACATTATAATTGTTCAGTAGTTTGGTATTTCATGGTGTTCACATTTACACTTTTTTCCATTTGATCCTCAAAACAACCAGGTCAGAGGGCAGGGCAGGTATTACACACTTTTTAGAGAAAAGGAACAGACCCAGAGTCATAGATAAATGACAGGTAATGCTTATGAGAGAGCCCTCTTTGTTAATCATGTGGCCTTTCCCATTTTGGTAGCATACTTGATGGATCTTAGAATATTTAAAAGTTTCTGGAGTTCAGAAAAAAGTTAAATGTGCTTTGTGGGCTGTAAACCTTGATTAAACTCAAAAACCTCTTCAGTGTGTCATGCTATATGAAGTTGAAGAAAATTCTTTTAGACTTGACCCTTTGTTTTGTCAGAATTCTAAGGGCATTTCTACAACTGGTTTAGGATACTTCTAGCTACTATATTTTGGAATCATTCTCTGTATATACAGCCTGTCTTCCAAGCATGTGGTTTGCGCCTGGTGCAGGGTTTTGTGAATGTGTGGCTGCTGGAGCTTCAGCACAAAAGTTAACCATTTAGCTATGATTTTAATAATTAAATGTTTTCAGAGAGCCAGCAAGGATGGTAAAAATCCAGAAACTCCACTTAATACCTTTAAAAAAAAATCAGTTAAGAGCATATAGAGAATTTGAGGGGGCTGAATGAGAAGCATCTAGTTCTCCAGTTCTATTTGGAAAGCTATTGAATGAGCGAGGGGCTAGGAATTTGCCTCCAAAATAGGCTTCTCTTCACCCGTCCCCAGACAAAGTTAAATCTCTGCAGTGAATATTTATGGAAACATGGGGTACCTTTCTGTGGCAGTTACCATATGAGTCCAAACAGTTTTTTTCTGCCTGGTAAGCACAGCTGCAGGTCACATCAATTAGGTGATGGTGGCAAGAGACGAGACTATCTGGAGCCCTATAAATTATGTCTACTCAGTTTATCAAAAACAAGGAAACAAAGCAACACAACTTAAACACACATATGCATTTCTTTATAACTAATACTGGGAGCGCCTGAGTAATCAGAAACAAAGGTGTAAAGAGTGGTTGTTGAATGCTACAGGAGGCGGGGGTAGGGGGCGGAGGGTAGAAAATTATTGAGTTTTCACCAATGTTTAAATCCTGGGCTTAAATTCTGGCTGTGACACTCCCTATAATATTTGGCTTTACTTTCCTCAAAGCAGAGCATGAGGATTAAATAAAATGACTGGATGAACACAGCTAGTAGGATGCCATACACCTAAAAGGAACATAATGCAAAATTTTAAGAAGTATTGTGTGGAGCTGCTTTGCCAAGACTTACTCTCTATTTTTTGAGCCCCTTTTGTAGAGCCCAAAATCTCATCCTTGAGCATTTGTAGAATCTGTTCATAGCTTCCTGTTGGAAGCTAAACAGAACTTGCATCCCTGATTTCTTAGGAAATTAACAATTTTATGAAATTTATTCCCATTTATGGATATTGAGATTGACTCTGGGAAATGCTAAGTAACTCATTGGTGTATATAGCTCATAAGTGTCAGGTACAGAATTCTAATCCAGCTTGGCTGACTTCAGCGCCTCTGCACCACTACACTGTTAAGCTTCTGATAGCAAGACATGTCATAAAGAAATAATAAAACTTTATTATAGTAGGATGAACCCATAGTTGTGGAGTCGTCTAGTTACAACTGATAATAAACTTAGATTTCTGACTTCTTTTCTTCAGGGATTTGAATATAGCCGTTCTGGAAACCCCACCAGGAACTGCTTGGAAAAAGCAGTGGCCGCACTGGATGGAGCCAAGTACAGTAAGTGATTCCCAATTCCAAGTTTGTGAAGCCTGGAATCCATTCTTATATGTATAGAGAAAATCACAGAAGCACAGAATGTAGAACTGGAATGAAATAAGGGTTAGCTAGTTCAAAACTGTTATTTTACTAAAACATTGAATTATTTCCCAAAGGTCCCACAGCTGGTAGACTATGCATATGTATGATTATTAGGTAAAAATAAACATGAATTTTCCACTTGGTATTCATGTAGATACTCTTTATCTGAAGCTGTCAGTATAAATAGATAAAAATTACCAAAGTTTTATAACACTACCTCTGAGAATATAAGCTTTCTAATATTCTGGTTCCTTCACCTGATTGTGCCTGAGAACAGCAGCAGGGTGCATTTGCACTAGGCAGGTGCCATTGATAATGTGCTCTCAGAGATTAGAGATTAATCCTTGGATCTTGTGTGTTTTTTCACAAGGGCATGGATTGCTATTAAGTCATCTTTGTATTTTTTATGTAAATGATACTAAATGAGGGCAAAATAGTGAATAGATATAAGAGTCTTAGGAGTTTTGTCACAGCAAGAGTGTAGAAATTAGAAATATTAATAATGTGAATTATTGGGTTTGTTTGGGATTTTGGAAAGGAGACTGGTTTTATTTTGGATGAGATTAAACACAAAAATGTCAGGCACTTTTTTCAAGTGGGATCCAGAAAACATGGTTGTTTTTAACTGAGATTTCAAGTTTAGCCATCTATGCGTTATTTATTGGACCACAGATCTGCATAGTTGAAAACTGCAATCCTCACCTGAACTTTTCTGAGAAGATTTCACAATAATTCTGTTTTCTAAGTTAATTGGATTATCCTTTCTGCTAGTCACAGGTGATTTTTTTCTCTCATCAAGGTGATCTTATTGATATTTTGTCAGGATATTTTCTTTTACAGTGTTTAATGTGCACAACGCCAGTTATTTATTTTATTTTATTTATTTTATATTTTATTTTATTATTTTATTTTATTATTTTATTTTATTTATTTTATTTTATTTATGTTTGTTCAACATGAGATCACATTTGTTTAAAAGAGATTCTACATTAAAAAATTTTTTGAAAAATTATTAAATTTATCAGGCATATCTCAGGTCTAATTTTGAGTTTTGTTAAATTATTTGCTCAGTTACATATCCGTGTGGTTAATGAATCATATCTTAGCTCTAGTCCTCAAAATTGAAATTTCTTTAGAGCCTGTTATTTTCAAACTGTAATTTAATTGGCAATTGGCCTTTTATTTCAGAATTTTGTAAAAAATTGTTTCCTTGAGGTGTTTCAGAGAAATGTTATATAACCAAAGTAGATTTATATATTTTTTATTATATAGATATTTCATCTTCGAAATTGAAAGGAAGATTTTGTCCCGGGACTTCTTATGACTTGTAGTTGTGATGACTGTCCTATCAACAGAGAGAGGGGCACAGAGTAATGCAAGTGAAGACTGTAGGTGTTTTTAACCTATTGGTCTGACTTTTTGGTTTACTCTAACTTGGTTTTTATTTTAGGTTTGGCCTTTGCTTCAGGTTTAGCAGCCACTATGACTATTACCCATCTCTTAAAATCAGGAGACCAAATTATTTGTATGGATGATGTGTACGGAGGTAGGTGACCTCTCACATTCGTGTTGTGTCAGCTGGTATTTAAAGATAATAAAGGGGGCCCTGAATTATATTAACGATGTTGCCAAGGTTATTGATTGTGATCTTCGAAAGGTGTAATGGACACCTCCCTGCTGGCTCAGGCTTGGTAAAAGAGGAGTTTAAATACTTAGGTCCATGCTCTGGAACTGCTTATAAGAGAGACTGAACAGTAATAATTTTATTCAAGCTGCTGGAATGAGGATGCAGGGCTTGATCAACTTTTAGACATATTCTGCTCTGGGGAAGACAGTGTTTAAGGGGACAATGTTCTAGTGTAATTTAAAATTTTGACCAGCAATGAAGAGGAGCTGTTGTAACCCAGGTCACTCTCAAAAGAGCTTAACTCTAACCACCCCTTCACCCTCCCCCACTTTTGGTTTTAGGGAACCTTTTGAAAATCTGTTGAAAGTTATGTCCCCTGTCTCCCCTGAAGAGTATACTTAAGATGACACCCAATGCTTATCATTTTAATTTTAGGGACAAGGGGTCTGACCCCTTGAAGCCCATCAATGGATCCAAATTTAAGAAGTTTTGTTCTAAAGAGTGTAAATGCAAGTTAAAAAGGGGAGAGGAACATCTGTAATACTTTCAACAAGAAAGATAAATTTTTAAAAAATCGAGTTATTTAAAGTGGCAAATGAGTAGGTAAAGAAGGCAGATTACCCGTACCCTTGCTTAAGCAAGACGGATTTTTGTGTTCAAACCAACAGCAAGATTTTGTGTAAATATACATGTATGTGCCTGATGCTTCCAAATAATTAAAATGTGACTTCTAGAATATTATTATCCTATTTGGACAAAAACTTACATCTGTAAGTTCTTTGAAGGAAGGGACTCACTCATCAGAAATTACAAAGTGCTGTGTGTTTTTTCTTAGGTTCCTATGATAGTTTGTTAAATTGAAATGATAAAATCTCAGACCTTTAGCTACTTTTATAGTGCATTATAAAAACCTTATGGCAAATATAGCACAAAGTCTTGAAAATTGCTGTTGACTTTTAACAATTATTTATATTTTCAATCTTTATTACCCAAGGCCAGTCTCTACAGAACATCAAAATCCAGTATATTTTGATCAGAGTATTTGTCTTTTTTATTGTTGTTCAGCTGTTAATAATAGTTTTCCCTTTAAATTTTGCATATGTAAAAATCAAATTCCAGAACAGTGCTTATAAAAGAAATTATACTAAGTTGAATAATTTATCTTCTTTCACTATAAAATTCTAAGAGTTTGATTTACATTGTCTCATTTTTCTATTAAAGCGTTCAGAACCATGTGACAAAACATTGAGAAAGTACGAAGAATAACAACTAGTTTTGTTTTTTTTTCTATTACCAAAGTATAATCAGATTGAAAATTTATTTTGAACAATTCATCGATATTGGTTCATTTATTTTAGATTTGAGTACTAGGAAGAAATTGTTAAAAAAGACACTGATGCTTTGGGGAGCATGCCCCTTAATATTTGAAGGATAGAGATTGTGTATTTTGAGAAACATTTTCTGCTTTATGTCACTTGGTATGGATAATCAAGTATGTTTTATTTGACTCTTTAACTTAAAAAAACCCAAGCCTTATGTCTTTACAATATTTGATAGCTAAACTATTTAACCAAAGTAGAATTGCTCTTAGTTGTATTTTTCTTGGTGATTGATGTTTCCTTATATTTTTTAAGTGATTATACCTGTAAGGAGTGAACATTTCTTAATACAATATCCTTTCCATTTTACCTGATTCTCTCCTCCTCAGGTACAAGCAGGTACTTCAGGCGGGTAGCATCTGAGTTTGGATTAAAGATTTCTTTTGTTGATTGTTCCAAAACTAAATTACTAGAGGAGGCCATTACACCTGAAACCAAGGTAACTCGGTTTTGTGTTGTCTTTTTCCCCTGTGATGTTTTGTTTTCATTATTTCTGTTTACTCGGGGACATAACTTAAGTCTGAATAACAAACTTTATTAGAAACCTTTGGAAACCCTCGACAAGAATAAGAGGTCTGGTGTCTCCTAGGTGTTATAGCATAATGATTAGGTACTTACATTCTGGAGTGGGATCTAAATTCTAATTCTGCATCATAGTTGGTATATGACAACTGGCAAATTATTTAACCAAAGTCTCAATTTCTTCATTTGCAAAATGGAGATAATTATACTTGCTTTATAGAAAGGTTGTGTGAATTAAATGAGATAAGGCTTATGAATGCTTAGTACAGTTCCCAGTGCATAACTGTTAAAACCTTCGTTAGCAAAAGCACACGATTCTTAACTGCATTACCAAGCTAGTATTGGTAACAGAAGTCATCACAGAAATTGGGTTACAGAAAAGAAAGCTTGTTAAGCCCCCCAAGCCCCAAGCATAATGGCTTTTTATAAGGGTTCTATGGGATACTTAAGTAAAAGAATAGAAGTAGAGAAGGGCCCCTAGCAATCTTTAGCCTCCACCCTGGGAAGCTTGTTTGCCACCGGAAGGTGTGTTGTGCCTGAGTGAAAGGCAATCGAGATATACTTTCTTGGGAACTCATTTAAATTCTGCATGGGTAGAAGAAGGTCCAGTGTCTTTAATAAGTCAGCCCTTTCCAACTTTTTGCTAATGATTAAAAGGTTTGAATTGTGCCCAAGAGTATGTTGCAATGACTGCTGAAAAATGAAAAGCTTTTCTCACACATGTTTTCTGCAGTAAAACTCTAGAATTTTTGTCCATTTATATAGGTAATAAAAGAAATAGTAACTCTTTTAACAATAAAATTCTTTTCTTTGGTCTTTTAAATAACTATCAAGCATTGACTATGTGCCTGAATTGTGCTAGATTTTGGAATATACGGATATACATGATTCTGTCTCTTTTTTAAGTGAGCCGTAGCCAGGTTTCCTGTGGTGTGTGTGTGTGACATTTCTTCTTCACTCTAAAACCCATGCTCTTCAAGTCCTTGGTACTTATAATTTCTAGTGCATCTGGCATTATTTAAGTTAATAATACAGACATTTTTGGCATTACAGAGATAGTTCTCTTTAATGAAAATTCTGGGATATAACCTTAGATAATCTATGTTATCACTGAGAACAACATTTCCACACTCTGAATTATGTCTTTAGAATACATTCTCTCTTCTTATGGAAAATAATTACAATAATTAACCTGTGTACTTTTTTGCTTATATGTATATCATATCTCTTGATCTTTACAGCAACTCTGTCAGGTAAATATTACCAACTTCATTATACAGATGAAGAATTTGAGGAGCATAGAGGGCAAGTTAGCTATGACCTCAGAAATTTATGGGGGCCTAGGATTCGGATGTGAACCTTCCAACTTCAACTCCCGGGCTCTTCTGATGTAGCCTCCCAGATGGTCACAATATATGAGATGTATGTTTGAAGAGTGTTTTTTTTTAAATAAACTATTGTCATTTACTGAATTGTTTTAGCTTGTTTGGATTGAAACCCCCACAAACCCTAACTTGAAGATGATTGACATTAAAGCCTGTGCACAAGCTGTCCATAAACGCGGAGACATCATTTTGGTAGTGGATAATACTTTCATGTCCGCTTATTTCCAGGTAAGTGCAAATAACTTTTTTGGTATGATTAGTGGACTACACAGATACCTGTAATTGGGTTGAAAAGATATTAACTAATGGTGGAAAAGGCCCAATTATAATTCTTTGTCTAATCAATAACTATGATTAGATTTTATGAGTTTGAAAATGATTTTAATGTAAACAAGTCCTTCCTTCCCTTAGGTTAATGTCTTGCATGGGGCTTTGTGTATTTTAACTGTTGTCTTAATTAAAGCTTTTAGGTTTTCTTAGGACATGTAAACTCTCCAAAGGTGTGACCTTATTTTGTGATTGTATCTGTCAGTGCCTTGTGTGTAGTAGGGACTTGAATGTTTATGTGCTGGTTGCAAGTTAGCAATATTATTTTGCAGTCATTCCTAATGTTTTTATCTGACCAGCCTTCCAAATAAAAGGAAAAAAAACAACTCGCTGTACTCTGACATCTCAATGTATGCCACACATACTTATTTCTTCATTTCTCTTCCTTCTTTCTGATTTCTCTTTCCAGCACCCACAAATTATGTGTAGCACTTTCTATCTTAACCTTATTTGTTATGAACTTTATGTTTCACATTGTAGCTCTAAGTATTTAGAATGCACCTTTTAGACCATCCTTCCCTACCTACCCCCCTACATACATCTTTCCCCTCCCCCAAACCTTCCCAATTATCCTTCATTTCTTTCCCTTTTTTCTCTTATTTTTTCCAGATTCTTCCATTCTGTTCTGTTTGGTTCCTTTTGGTAGATCTTCTTGGGATCTCTGTAACTGAGTAGTTGTCTGCCCACCCCCAGCCCCTCTCCCTCTCTTCCCTCTGAGTAACCTGACTTTGTTTCCTTTCCTTTTTAGGAGTTACCTTCTCCCAGCTCTTTCCTTCCTGCCTGTACCATGTGGTCCATTCTTTTTTCAGAAACCCCAGCACATTTTCTTCCACTCTTCAATCAGGCACATGTTTACAAGCTCAATTGTTTACATTTCCCCCTGTCAGTCCTGGGTTCCTGAAGCCAGGCCAGGCGTCTGCCTTCATGGGACCGGCTGACTCCCTGGAAAGCTGCATAAGCCTGTTCTCCACCATCCGTCCTTTGTATGCAGAAGGCACCCCCACGCCCTTCCCCTTGTCCACTTTAATTCATCTCTAGGTCACTTATACTACCCAATACAATGTAAATGCCATGTAAGTAGTTGTTAGACTGTATTGTTAGGGAGTAATGACAAGAAAAAAAGTCTGTACACTGTTCAGCCCAGACACAACCATTTTAGGCCTAACTACATAGTATCCATCAGCAACAGTATAACTTTTCCCCCCAAATGTTTGGTTGGTTGAATCTGCAGATGCAGACCACGAATATAGAGGGCGGACTGTGTCGTTAGCTGCTTCCTGTTACAAACCTTGCAACAGAAACCTCGGAAGGCAGTCCACTTCTAAGTGAAAATCTCCTGGCCTTATCTTTTTGTCCCAGGCGTTTTTCACTCTTAGATAATCTTTCTCTCAATCCCTGACCTGTATACCTCTGGCAGTAGGCCAGTTAATACAGCGTAGCCGTGATCTGGCTGAGTCACAGTGAGTCCTGCATATTCCCAAAGACACGGCGTGCGTTGTTTTAGCCTGGGCCTGTCCAGGTTACTCATCAGGCTCGGCCCTCTTTCTCCTAGTACCAGTCACTAGAATAGGTCCAGTTTTTCTACCTTCCTGAGGCCGACATCACATTGCTTGCGACAGGGATGGCAATTTGCTTCATTTCAATCTGGATTCATTCCTGTTGAGTTAATCAGAATTACACTGTTTCTAGGCAAGCACATGTATTGGTTCTACAAAGCAAATCCTCTGAAAAGGTTCTCATTGTTTTATCATCATGAAAACTGGATATATTCTTTTTCTTGCCTGACTTTTGTCCTCTGGATCTTCTGTAAGTCTCACGAAAGGCAAAAAGGACAGATTTACCAGTATAAGGTTTTAGAGTAGAGCTTCTGGGTTCAGGTGGTCTGGGTGGGAGTCCTGGCTCTACCAGGTTTTTAATCTGAGTGATCTATTTTATTTCTCTAAGTGCCTTTTCATCATCTGTACAATTAGAGTCACAAAGGTACTAATTTTATTGAGTTAGGTGAAGTATTTTACACAGTGCTTCACTGGGTTATGTAAAATATTTAACATGGTTCTTGGCACATAATAAGATCAACAGATATGAGTTACTGTTTTTTTTGTTGACCGTAGAGTTTATAGAATGCTAGTCTTGGAAGAGGCCTTAGACATTGTCTAGTTTGACTCCATCACTTTAAAAATGAGCAAACAGATATGTAGAGAGTGCTTTGAGCAGTACCCTACTTAAAACCTGTTTATGAGCCCTGGCCCAGTGGCTCAGTTGGTTGGAGCGTCGTTCCCATTCACCAGTGGGCTGAGGGTTTGATTCCCGGTTGAGGCGGGTATGGGAGGTAACCCATCAATGTTTCTCTCAAAAAAAAAAAA